AATTGAGACCAGCTGGGTTTGATGGGCAAAAAAGTGAAACTTGCAAGTAAGCCAGGCTCATGCTCCTCTCAAGCTAGCTCATGGGGTTCTTTCCACCTAGATCAAAAAGAGAATTGCCGCTTCTTCTTTTGCCACCTTTTGAGGGCAGGGCTGGAAACCTGCCTGCTCAAAGAGGTACATCAAGCAGACACATAATGCTGTTGGGAGAGGGAGGGAAGTGTGTGGATGCATCCTCAAAGCTGAACAAGGCAAAAGCTTATGCACTAGATGAGTTTTAAAGATATGGATGAGCCCCACTCAATGAATACAAAAATGTCTGCCACAAAGGCAGAATTAGGTCAGCACTGAGCATCTTGGAAAATCCCGTCCGAGATCTATGCAACAGTAATATGAAAAAGTACTGAAATGCATTGGAAGCCTTTTAGCAAAAATCAAAAGTAGGGATTGGCTTAATGGTAAGGAACGTGACAAATGTCCATTCACCCTGAAGATTATTGTGAAACATCAAGGCAGTGAGAAAAATGACCTTTTCTAGCTTGGATGCCTTTTCCAGCGGGCATTACAGGATGAGTGAGAGCAGCCTCCACAGTGAGCAGGCCAACAGACAAAACTAACCTCTTTGGGTTTTATAAAAAGAGAACAAGCCAAGGCCACCTGAGTTCATTTACACCTACAATTGCAAGAAGCTTGTACTGAATTTTCTAGGTGTTATACTTTTGATAGACCTATATACTCTGAGAAAAGGCCCAGTTACCACCATTTCACAAAACAACACCCTTCCAGGCAAGTAGGCAAATTTGTGATTGTTGCAGAAGTTCTCAGGACCCTTTAGAAGAAGTGCCCAGGCTCAGCACATTCACAAAAGATGAAGAACTAAAGGGAGCACTGAATGTACAAGCAATTAACTAGAAATTCAATGGGTGGAGAGGTATTTGGATGGCAAGACGAACAGATGGGGGAGATAGCTGTTACAGAGGGATGAAAGGAAAAAAATAATGTGGAGATGGATGGATGGGTGAATGGGCAGACAGATGGTTAAGATAAGGGTACTGATCAATTCTTATGAACCTGAGAAAGGCATCCAAGTTTGTTTCTGTTAAAAATGCTTAATTAGACTAATTAAAGAGAAGAGAATTGACACAAATACTATTTTTCCATGAACTTCGAGCACACAATTTTCTCCATCATTTGTCATTACAGGCTGTCTGCTTTTTCCCTCCCTCCCTCCCTCTCTCTCTCTCATGCATGATTTTAATAAAGCCCCATGCAGATCCTGAATGCACACACCCATTGAAAGTCAGTCTATGGAGATACAGCTGTCCATAATAACATGTTTTCCCCTGTTATTGTCTGTCCAGCAAGTGGCTCTTGCAGTCAGAGATATGTTGCATTTTTAGGTTAGCAGAAAAAAAAAAAGAAAAGAAAAAAAAGGCCAACGAAATGAAACTCTTAAGCATTGGTGACCGAAGAAGTGCCAAATCTGCACAATTTATTCCGCCTGGGCATTCTCATCAGCCTCCCTTTAAATGCCTCTAGCATTCTGCACCCCATCCCAATCTGCTTAAACAAGTACTAAATGTTAACACTTGTATCAACCACCCAGTATTTAATTTCATCTTTGTGCTCTCTCAAATAACACTTGCATCTTAATGCACTGAAAGCGTAAACTGGATAACCACCGAGCATCTCCCAATATGGTGCAAATAGATCAAATTTAATAGTCATGACTTCATGATGGAAACATGGAAGGAGACAAGAGTGTGGATGGACAGATGGAGAACAGAATGAATGATATCCAGGCACAAAAGAAGCCTCTGTAACACCATTAAAAGAATAACAAAGCAAAGGGTCTCTGGCACAAGGAGGAGGATGGGGAAGAGTAGGGGTAGATGGGGCTCTGGGGAATGCAAGCCTAGACAAAAGCCCATTGGGGTGTTTGACCTGTTCATGTTGAGGCCACTTCTAGGTCCTTTGCTTCCTGAGGGGAGGCAGCCACAGATTGATTGAGGAACAGATGGGCAAATGACTAAGTAGAGAGAAGGAAGGAGGAGAAAGCAGGCCAAACATATAAAAGAGCATGGATACAAGTGGCAGGTTGGACTGTACTAGGTTAGAGACAGAAGTGACATCCAGGTGCAAACCTAACATGACAGCCTGACAGAATTCTTATTCCTTGGAGATGAGATGCTACAATATCTCTGCCATGTTTTTGTTGTGAATTTTCTCAGGGGAGTGGAATTTACAAAGACTTCCCTTTTTGTATGTATCATACAAAGCGGAAATTACCATCTCCTTGCTGTAGACAAGCCAAACAGATTGCCATCTATTGTTGCTGTTGCATGTCAATTTTTCCTTTCATTAAGTTTTAGGACAGGGTCACCACCTGGTTGCTAGGACTTCCCCACTATCCTCCTAGCTACACATACAGTACATGCAATTTACCGATACATTGCCATCTGGCCTACCCACTCAAACTCCACTATATCACCTCTCCATTTCAGTAACCATTTATCCAGGATTGCTCCTGGTTATCAAACATAAACCTGTGCGGAAAAGATAAAAAGACAGAAGGTTCCAAGGAGATTAAAATGTCATCAGGAGTGAGTTTCCACTCAGTTTGCACTTTTTTTGGCAGAAGACAGAGAAGAGGCTCTAGAACTGAGGACATTGTCACCTGTATGTTAATAAACTACACCCCCCCCCCAAATACAGCCACTTGAACAATTTACAGTTTCCTTTCTGTAAATAAAAAGAGGACCTAGGGTATAAAACACACCCAGAAATCAACAGGTTTTGCCATTGGGGTACTCTTTTACCCCAACCTCCAAAAAGTATTCGTAATTTTTTTTTTAGAAAACAAGGATCCAGGGAAGCAATTTAAATGGTTTGGAGAGATACAGCCCTTTCTGATAACCCAATGACCCTTCTGATAACCTGGCAAATGTTTACTTCACTGCTGAAATAACAAAGAGTGTTAGCAAATTATAAATGCCAAATGTTTTCTGCCTCATGTGAATGTATACTTTCAGGCTCTAGGTTTTTAAATATTGTGAAACACAGTGTCTTCTGTCACCACAGACTTTTTTAATGGGACACTTTTTTCACCTCAAGACACATTGGAATTTGGCTTGGCGGGGTATGAATATTCTCTAGAGAACTATTTGTGAAAGTTTTCACAAGCCCAGCAGCAGCGTGAAGGGCCTTTCTATATGATCCTTGTGCAATAATTGTAAAGTTCTGCACCTCATTCTGGCTTGCGTCTAGCAGACTTTTGTATGCGTTAGAATCCCTGTGTGAGCAGAAGTGTGAAAATAAAGCATCCTCATGCTGGATCCTTGCACAGAGTGCAACCCAAGCAATTTTTATGTTTTCACAAGATGTTGTGCAAGCAATTTCTTGGCAGTATAAGAAAGAACCTGCCAGTTGTTGCAGAAGACTTCACACAAGCAGAACAGTGAAACAACCTTATTACGCTGTATGCTAATTTACTGCTCACCCTCTACCTATGTGTATGGACTGGCAACTTCCATTTCAATGAATCTGAAGAAGTCTGCATGCACAAGAAAGCTTATACTTAGAATAAAACTCTGTTGGTCTTAAAGGTGCCACTAGACTAGTGCCTAAGCCTGTTTCTATTTTTGACTGTACACTGCCAGATCCAAGCCTTTGTCTCATTTCAAATAATGCTTCTGCTGTTATTTTATGGCCATGGCTGTGTGATTGGCACAAGCTCTTACTGAACAGTGCTTGTGCCATCACTAGAGATACTAGGACAACTCCTCCCCCTCCACTTTTAATTTATGCAGAGCTGGTTAGGTAGCCTGGCTTGGCTGGATCATCTTATGGAATTGAGAATATATTTAAGATTGATCCTGACATCAATCCCGAGTCTACATTCTTAGAAGAGATGAATCTACCAAAGAAAAGGCCCAGAGCAAACCTGTCCACAGTTCTATTCTCACTGTAAGCCCTCAGGGTAAATGCCAGCACTGTCCATATTTATGAGGCTATTTAATTCTAATAGTGCCTTTTTAAATGCTGTACTTTATCTGCAAGCTTAGCACACATCTTTTTCTGGGGGGAAAAAACAACTTTAAAGAAGATTAGCGTTAACATGCTGTTAGAAAACTCATTTACCCTGTGCAAAGAGCACACTACAGCAATGGAAGAGCATTCGATGGATATCACTGCTGGCGATGCTCCCCATTTAGTAAAAGCTACTATTAGGTAACTCTTTTAAACTGGTGCCACTCACATGGATTTACCTACTTCTTCCAAATATTCTTACTTGCACCTGAATTCCTGGACCTCCACTTAAATGGAGCTGGTATAACGTAGTGGTTAATAGCATTAACTACAAGCACAGAATCACCCATTCAAATCTCACCTCAGCCAAAAACTCAGTGAGCATCCTTCAGTAAGCAATTATCTGTGTGCTTCTTTTCACCATCTCACTATAAAGATATCATAATAGTGGTATGTTTTACTGCGTTACTAAAAGGACTGTTGAGATGATGTATAGAAGGCACTTTGAATACTTTAGGAAAAAACTATATTAGTTCCCCAATATTAGGCTATCCATTTCTTTATGATCACTTGGGTGAATGCATCTAGGTACAGAAAAACCTGGCAAGAGTAACAACATGACCTAGATGACATGATCTAGCCAAATCTTGGAAGCTGAACAGGATCAGTCCTGGCTAGTACATGAACGGGAGACCACCAGTGAAGTTCAGAGTTGCTACACATTTTGCCTGCTATGCAGGCAATGGCAAACCAGCTCTCCTTGTCTCTTGCCTTGTAAACCCTATAAAGTTGCCATAAGTCAACTATGACTTGATGATCAGTAACACACTTGCAAATCTTTAATAGTACTGAATCAACCACATGTTTACAACAGAGTGACAAATGCAATTTCCTAAAGCGCTCCTGTTTTCCTTTCTCCATGCCAGAAAGCGAATCACTTGAAAGGTCTCTGAAACTACTACTGAGGGACTTACCGGCTTGGTTGGTGGTGATGTTCACTGAAACGTGCTGTGGTGGGAAAGGGCTTTTGTTGGAGACTCCATTGACCGCTTGGATCTCAAAGGTATATGGTGTGTGGGCCCATAGATTGCTGATGAAGACCCGGGTTTCTGTGAGGCCCAGCTGCCTTGGCACAAATTCCACATTATCATCACAGCGGGAGCAGCTACGGCGATCAGAGCGACACTTCTTGCAAACAATGTTGTAGGTCACATCATCACGTCCGCCTGTGTCCCGAGGTGGATGCCATTCTAGTATAATCGATGTTTCATTGACAATGGAGATCACATTACGAGGCCCTGAAGGAACGCCTGTTGAAAAGCAATTGCAGATAAAGGCTTATGCAAGCAAATGTCTCAATATGATAAAATGTGTAGTGTTTCTGAAATGCTGGAGTTTGAGATGAGAAAGTCTGGACTCCACAAATTTAGAAGCATCCCGTGTGATTGTCTAGTATAGTCTTTCTCTTGAAGATCACTGGGGTGAAGGAAATTTTCCCCCGTGCGTATGATTTTTAAGTTTCTTTACAGCATGAACTGAACTTGCACCCTCCTCCCAGCATTCTCTGGAGAGACTTGACAGACAGGTTTAGGTCACACAGAGTTTGAGTGATCACCTAAGCAAAGAAAGACTCTTCCCACAGGTCAGAATGAGTAACTATTCTAGGGAGGTTTTTGCCTTCTCCTGTAAAGTGGCCTGGATTTTTAGTTTTAGTTTTTCCTGAGCCTATGTCCAAATTTGAAATTTTCTTTTTTTGTTGGTTAGGCTAATTATTATGTATGTAGACAGATAGTAAGGATATTTCCTTCCTCTGTGTCTTGGCTCACTTATCTGGATCACTGAGAGAGAGCTATTTGTTCTTCAAAGACCTTAGTGCCACACAGCACCTGCTTTCTGCATTTGTATGGATTATTTAGGTTGGCCTTTCAAGCGTGGAATTATAACTAGATGGTCACTTGTCCCTGCAAGCTGTGATTCTACTAAATTATATCACCCCTCCGTCCCTTTCTGTGAAAGGCAACTTGCACATGGTTCCATTTTTAACGTATTTCCTTCCTTGGCTTTACAGGTCCCTCTAGTTTACTAAAGGTTTATGGGCTGTTGGATTTGGCTGTAGTTGCTAGAGGCCATCGAGTCACACAACACAATCCTCCCAACTCTGTGAGGTCCCTGATTCTTTTTAATAGTCAGTCTGACAACCATACTCCCAGCTCACATTTCCATATTCCCCAAATGTTGCTGACTTTACCCTATAATTCCCGTCTTTATTTTCACAGGGCTGTCCAGAATATGGCTCATGAGACCCATAAACTACCCTAGCACCAAAGGTGTGGCTCCTGGGCAGTTCCAGAAACCGAACAGGAATGCAATTAAAAGTAAAGGCTTATAATACCCTTACTAAAAGGAAGGGAATGGAAGGGAGAGAGAAATGAGTATGTGGGATGCAACAGCTGCCCTTCCACCCATTTCCTCTTCCAGTTAAATGCTGGGGCTAAAGTATGGCTGAAAGAAAAAGAAATGAAGCCCTGAATTATGTCCTAAAATGTGGGGGAATAATAGCAGTGGATCCTGACCACGGGACAGTTGTGAGAGTAGATGAAACTAAATGCAGGGAATGGGAAAAAACTGTGGAAAAGATTTATAGGGAAAGGTAGCAGTAATGTGAAAGGGCACAGTGTGTCTTGTAGCTCTTGATTGCATGAAAATAACCTGAAGGGTATCTGAATGCTAACACTAAGTATTGAAATATTTCTCTGTATAACACCAGACATAAAGATTGTCTTAACCTCTCCTAAAGTCCTCTGTTTCCATCCTCAATATATTTCACTAAAAACACATTTCTTATTAAATTCTATTTTTTATCAATATCTATTCTTCTATATTAAACAGTTAGAGCCTACCATTTCTTTCTACCAGTGGCCACTTTCCTCTGCTAACTTTCACTAAATGCTGGGGCTTCCAAGTACTGTCCATATCTCAGTTCTGACATCATGTGGACAGAAGAAAACTGGTCTCATCAACCCATCCTCAGCCGATTTGTGTTGATAGCACTATGCGGCACGCTAGGATGAGAATTCAAGCTGTAAGCTTGGCTTTTAGAAATCTCCCACTCAAAGCCACACTCCATTGAAAGTCAAATCCAATCTGCAGGAATCGTGTCATTTTAGACAAATAAAACAGAGGTGACATAGTGCACATTTTACAATATTCCAAGCAATATTATCATTGCTAAGGTGGAGAAACACCCCCCCCCAACAGATACAGAACTAGCAGAAAATGTCAGAAACAGAGAGCAGCTATTAACAGTTCAGTGTGTCAGCCTGAAGGGATGGATATTTAGTGGGGTCCTTCAAGGGTCTCCTTCTGCATCTGTTCTCTATACAGTTACTATTTATTAGCAGCTTGGACACCCGAGTTCAGAGTATATATATCAAATCCTTAGGCGGCAGCATCCTCGAGTGACTGCAAGTGCTTTGCAGGTTAAGTGCAACACCATTTTTATACGTGGAGGAAATGGGGCTGAGATCAATTAATGGAGATTCAATATGAACAAAAAAAACCAGTGCGGATCATGTTGGAAGAAAATGTTTCTCACATCAGAAAAAAATGAAATCTTCAGAGCCCACAAAAATTTATTAAATTTGCCCTAAAACAGAAAAAAATAAAAAGTTGAAGTATTTAAAGTTATATAATTTTAATGTTGATATTATTATGGTGGGAGGGCCCATAAAAGTCATAATGTGGCCCTGGTGCCATCAGGGAAGATTTCAGGGCAATGCAGAATGACAAAGCGAATAAGTCAAGCTTGTGGCACTGATACAAGCAAAGTAAATAGAAAAGCGGTCTAAAGTCTATTAACTAAACATAATAAGCAGAGGTCATTTCAGGGGGGAACGCGGGGGAACGCAGTTCCCCCAGGTGAGGGGCAGGGGGCGGGGCACATGATGAAGCCCCGCCCCCTGCTTCCGGCCGCCCCGCTTCCAGCCCTCATTCAGCCAGGAGGAGGCAGGAGAAGAGGGAAAGTTGCTTCCTCCCCGCCTCTCCCCACTCCCACCTGCCTGGGGCCACGGAGGGCCTTGGTGGGGCTTCCTCGCACTCCCGCTGGCCTTGCAGGTCCACCGCCAGGCCCCTGATGTCAGGGGGTGTGGCATATGCTAATGTGTTATGCTAATGAGTTCCCCTAGCTCTTTTTCTACGAAATGACCCCTGATAATAAGCATCCAGGTTACTCAGAACTACTGCTTCCGAAACAGGAGGACTGAATTCAAGCTTGAGTAGAGTTGCCACTAAAATTCTCAAAAGGATAACTGAGGCCAAAAATATTGAATCTGGACAATTCCAAATTCTCCTCTTAACATTCTGGTGGCCATGTTGAAATCCACCATGTGTTCAACCAATTTCTCCTTCTGGAACCTGAACCTTTCCATTGTTGTCATATGTAGTTCAATGCGCACTACATATTGCTTCATGATCTACTTTTATGTGATGTTTTAACCTATGTGCTCCAAACTAACTACATTTCTCTTACGGTCTTAACACTGTTGTATGATATCCTCTACGGTCTTAACACTGTTGTATGATATCCTCAACTCTAATTTCACCAAATCGTGTGATACTACTTTCCCTGCCAAAATGATACATGCTCATGTGAGAATGATCGATTTCAAAGCTTTAAGACTATCAATCAAACTATGGAGAACAATACTGAGAGAAAATGTAAATGTCATGCAAAAAGATGAACAAACTTTTAAAAAAACAGCTTTTGTGAAAAGAGGGGAAGTGACCGTGGAAAAGAACATGGAGGGAGATTGTGCAACTGGGAATTTTGCTTTTTGGATTGCAAAATATAGGGTCTGCACCTTGGAACACTGACACGTGGTAAAATTACAGCTGACTCAATAATTTTTAAAAAAATATCAGGGCAACATTTACAATACGCATTCTTTTATTTACCGGGCACAAGTGTTTGTAGGCTATTACCTACTTGATGAGATGCTAATGGAACTGTGATCTGCAAGGTGGGGGAATCAGTTGGTGGAATGTTTATACAGGAGCTCTTCAAGAGATGTTCTCTAAAAAGGATTATTAATGGCAAAGTTAATGTACAAAAGCCATATTACTCTCTACTCTTATTATGTGAGAAGAAACTGCAGTCCCTGTTCAGGTCAAATTTCTGAGCAAATTCTGAACAAATTCCTGCTCCTCTATTTCATATACCATATACTTGAAATCAGCTGTTTGAGGATGTCTTTTCTCAGGCCTCTTATTTAATGGCATACATCTGACACAGAGAATAATAATATCTTTAAAGCTGGTGAGCGAATATTTTAACCTCCCATCATAGATTGAACACAACATTTAGGTGGTGTGACGGCTCCAGGAATTTCAATGTAAGGACAAACCAGCAAGGTTGCCGAGTACCTCGAGGAAAGCACATTCCTTGAACGTGCTGACCAGTCTATTGAGATCAAGGAATATAATTAAGAGGCAAACGTTTCAGCACTTCGCTTGGAAAAAAATGAATCCAACGCGGTTTTGCTGAAACGACCTACCTCTGCTTGAGCCCTTGAGGGTTTTTCAGCTGTTGTCCCCATTCCAAACGCCCCTCTTCCCTTCTCTCTCCCCTTTTCTTCATAATTACATTCAGAAAGGCACTTTGAGAGAGCTTCTCTGATCTGTTGCCATGGTTACTGCAGATGAAAGCATTTTGTTAAAATTGCTAGAAAAATGCTATCTTTTAACAAAAATTCCATTTCATTTAATTTTTTTTCCTGTCAGCACAGTTAAAGTGTTTGTCATGAGCTATCTAGCAGCAAAAGGTTTTGCTGTGTACACAGTAGAGAGGTGATGTAACGAACGTGATGTCCTAAAGTAATGCAGTGCTTAAACTGTTGTTATTGTATGTGTGCACAGAAGCTCAGAGAATTTTGCAGAAGGCTTTATTCTAACTGGTTTATTATAAATTCAGGTGCCCTCCCTGTCTTTACACCTCATACCATCAATCGCACACACATTAGTATATTGAGGTTCTGTCCAAATACAACCAAGCCCCCTGGTGCCTCCAGTCCCTTTCTTCAAGTCCCCAATTCTTGCTACCTAACTGACTATAATCCCTCCTTCTTTTGTAGGTCCCACTGCTTTCCCCAGAGCAGTACTTCATCAGGACATCTTTGGTCCTCACATCTAAAATATATGATATTCAGTCCCCATTACTGTTCAGTCAGCTTCCTTATCTCTATGCTTGCCTAACTCTTCTCTGGGCCCCTGTGACTCTACAGCTGCTTAGCAAACAGCTAGGATGATGCTGGCT